TTAATGCTATTGACTTTCATGACCTTTAGATAGAAATCAGAAAGACTGGTTGAATTTCAATGGTGAAATTTAGAGCACATTTTTCTACAACAGCATTTTTTGGGGGGGGGGGTTGCTCAGAAGCTGGCATGTATCTCATTAGAATGTATTGTCTGGGACAGGGCTTCCCCAGAAGCAGACCCTGAGACAAGAATTTCAGGCAAAGTAGTTTATTTGAGAAGAGATTCCAGGAAACACAAATAGTGAGGTGGGAAAGAGAGAAGAAAAGACAGCCAATACATAGTGATAATTACCAGGCAAGGTATGTGAGAAACTGGAGATTGATTCTGTTAGGGGAACTCTGACGACAATGTAGAACACATAGCTCAGGGCTACCCCAAACTGAGGCCAAGGAAACTGGGCATCTACTCACTAATGCCCATCCACCTTTGGTTAAGGACTGCTTCTCAGGGCATTAAAACATGAGCAGTTCTGGGGTTCTTTCTCCCAAAGCAGAGAATTTCAGTGTTCTTCACTGCAAAAGCCTTTTGTGAGTAGGGATAAATGCTCAGAGGATATGAGCAGGGCATTAGCAGTGTTTAGTAGAAGGATTATGGGCCACATTTTTCTGAGTTGCTTGTGGAAAGAGGATCATGAGCGTAAGGCAGGAAGTCCTCTGAACAGAGTAGTCTTGACGCTGTGTTATGGCAAGATGCTGGAGGAGCTAAGGATGGTGAAATGATGGGGGGGGGGGACATCAGCTGGTGGTACCCCATCTGGGATTGGGATTCTGGAATAGTTAGATACATGGATGCTTTGGCAACTCATCCTGGAAATAGCTGTGGGCATTGGGGTTAACTGATTTGTTTTTGTTTTTTTTTTTAAGATTTTATTTGTTTATTCATGAGAGATACAGAGACACAGGCAGAGGGAGAAGCAGGCTCCATGCAGGGAGCCCAATGTGGGACTCGATCCTGGATCCCCAGGATCACACCCCAGGCTAAAGGCAGCACTAAACCACTAAGCCACCAGGGCTGCCCCATTAACTGACTTGTTAATGGTTTACTTTTCTTTGTTTCCCAAAGTGTCCTGCATTCTAGGAGACGGATTTGGGTTTCCAAATCCTAGATGGAGAAATTGAGATACATGACTAACTTGCTTGAAGGTAAACTAGTATGTCAATGATTGTATGAAGAACACTCAGAGCGAGAATTCCTAAATCTTGGACCTTGAAGTCAACACTTTCTCCTCTCTTAAGACAATTTGACTTGATGTTCATTCCTTGTACACTGTTTGTTTCATCCTCTGTACTTGCCTCCTTCCTCTCTGAGCCAAGGGTTTTTCAGGTTTCTTCTGGACAGTGTGGGAAATAGTTAAAATCAGTGTTTACTGAGTTACAGAGGAGGAAATCCAGTATTACTAAATGAAAAGATATAGTTTGTACATTTGTTTCTTCATTCCCAAACACTGCTTCTGAAATGAGTTCACCCTGGACATATCATTTTGGTTACTCCAAATCTTGAAGAATTTTCTATTTAAACTTCATTTATCTGTGAGGTCTTCCTCCAATGATTCTGTCTTAAAATAATACCGTCTCCACCTTCTGAACTCTTTTTCCCCTTCACTGGTTACGTTTCTGTGTGACATGTAGAATCTGATATACTTCATATTTGACTTGTTGGTAGATTACCTATCATCCCCAGCTTGAATACAAATTCAATGAACACTGACCATTTTCCCTGTTCCCTCTGCTGCCTCTTTCCCTTCCCTTGCCACATGTACTCCCAGTACTCAGAACAGGGCCTGGCATAGAAGCTCAATAAATATTTCATCAATGAATGAACAAATGAATCAAAGGTGTTTACCAAGACTTTTGGCTAAGAAATCCAGTACATTTGTCTTTGCTGTTCTTTGTGAAGCAAAATATCTCCTGGAGTTTCCTGGCTAGTTGAATTGAGAGAGGCACAATCCTGGATTTATCTTCCAGGCTTCCTTATAGCTTTGGAAGTACATATCTGGTTTGAATCATACCTATATCACTTAGTAGCTGAGAGGTCTTGTTCAAATAAACTATTAATTTCTTCTTCCACAAAATGGGCTAATAATCCCCATTTTGAAGCATTTTTTAGGAGGGTTTATTTGAGTCAACATAAATAAGGCACTTAGCCCAGTACCTGGCATGCAGATGATCATCAAGTATGAATCTTCTTTCTTTTTTCCTAATTTCAAGTGTGGTCATCAATTGGCTGGCCAATCAGTGACACAAAGATCGAGGGCAGCCCGGGTGGCTCAGCAGTTTAGCGCTGCCTTCAGCCCAGGGCCTGATCCTGGGGACCTGGGATCGAGTCCCACATTGGGTTCCCTGCATGGAGCCTGCTTCTCCCTTTGCTTGTATCTCTGCATCTCTCTCTTTCTCTCTTTCTCTGTGTCTCTCATGAATAAATAAATAAAATCTTAAAAAAAAAAAAAGATTGGGAAAGTTGGTCAAAGGAGATGCTGAGGGAGGATGTCAAAGAAGGAAATCTGAAACTAGAAATGCAGGCAGGCCCTTAGGATCCGGGGCCCCCTTTTACCTCCTGGTTGTTTATAGAAAGACCATGGAAGAGGGAGGCAGAAGATATGGCCTTGCCCCAATCATTGTATTTCTAACGTATTTCCTGAGTTGGTTCCTACCCAAAGCTGATTCATCCCTAGAGAATATATATGTCCTTCTTTAGTCAAAAGGAATTGACTGCATAAGAGTTGAGGCTGGAGAAATTCAATTATCCAAGGAAATATGTTTCAGAATGAATCATATGATAAACCTTAAAGCAAAATTCCAGTATGGGGTTTTATTACTCAAACAATGTGGAAATACACCTGACTGAGAGGAGATGGAATTTAGGACAGAATTTTCTAATATGACCCATATATTGACCCCTTAGCAGCTTTGGCACATGCAGAATATTTATCCACTTTCTCCTTCTTCTAGCAACCACTCTACTACTTTAACTTTCAAATAGAAATGTGTGGTATAGTTGTTGAGCATCTGGGCATGTCCAGAACTTGTTTTGAGGCTTGGGAAGACGGTGAATAACTGCAAACATTTATTGAGAATGACGAGTTTGTCATCATTGTTTCCACTACTTAACTTCTCTTAGAAAACCTTGAGAACTACTTTCAAGGGTGAAATTATTTGGTGGCCAGTCAAGGCAACTAGGACAAATTCATCTGTATCACTATTATGGGGTAGAAGAGAGAGGCAGAGGAGGAGGTGGAGGTGACGGAGGTGATGTTGGTAAAGATGGTGGTGGTGGCAGGTGATGGAGGTGATACCATGGCTGAGGAGATGGCAATGATAAAGATGGAGACTGAAGGTATTAGGTAAGATAAAGGAGAGGTTGCAGGGCAAGTGGAGAGAAGGTGGTGGTAATCAAGGCAGTAGTGGCAGTGGTGGAGGTAGGGCTGGTACAGGTGTTGATGGAGATGATGGTGGTGGAAGTGTTGGCTTTAGTAGTGACAGAGGCAATAATGGTAAAAATGGTGATATCAAAAGAATCGAAAAATGTCAGCACCAAAACTTGTACATGAATATTCATAGCAGCATAACTCGTAATAGCCAAAAACTGGAAACAATCCAAGTGTCCATCAATGGATGAATGGATAAACAAAGTGTAGTATCCACACAATGGACATTATTTGGCCACAAAAGGGAATGAAGTTGTTACATGCTACAACATGGATCAACTTTGAAAACATTATGCTTATGTAAAAGAAGCTAGACACAAAGGCCACCACATTTTGTGTAATTCCATTTTATGAAATGCACAAATAGGCAAGTCTATAGAGACAGACATAAATTAGTGGTGGAAGTGGGATGGGAGTGACTGCTAATAGAATGGGGTTTCTTTTTGGGGTGATAGACATATTCTAAAGTTAGATTGTACAACTCTGAATATACTAAAAACTACTGAATTATATACTTTAAATGGATGGATTGTATAGTATATCAATAAAGCTAATAAAAAATTTTTAAAAAGTGGAGGTAGCAAGTGGTATGGTTGTGGAGGGTTCACTTTTGGTGGTGGGATTGGACTGGGGAGAGGAAGGAAGAGTTGATTGATACCTGATATACCTAAATCTATGTAGGATCAAGTCTGAGTACCAAAGATTTTTTTTCCATAGATGTTTTCCCATCTTCTGGAAACTCTATTTTCTCCCGTAGCTAACACTGAATCCACACACAAATATTTCTGAAACAGATGCTAAAAATCAAGTGAAGTGTCACCTGCTGGAGGAATCGTGTCTAAAAGGGATATCTTTGTTTTTTCCACACAATGTTCTCAGCACACAGACTGGCTTCTGAGAAGCAATGGGATGGAGTGGCCAGGCTTCCTCTTCTCACGTGAGTGCAAAGTCAGATGGAGTCCATGAAGAAATTAAAGCAGACATCTGGGATCTATAATTTTTAATAATTTTTAAACTAGCTACAAAATGTCAATCACTTCACAAACCGACAGAGGAGACAGGAGGAATTTAATATTACATGCTGTAATGATATTTATCTCACAGTTTATCTATATTTCATTCATTTATATTATTTTTTAAAGATTTCTTTATCAGCTACTAAATATCTCAGCAATTTGGTGTGCATAGCTCTAGATTAAGCAACAGAGAATTGTACTGATAACAAACCACAGGGGGATATGGTGATTAATAAGAGTCAGCCTTATAAAATTTACATCTCCACACTGTTTCACAGCAAGATTGCTTTCTCCAAAACATAGCCTTCAAAAGCAGCAAATAAATCCTATATTACATTCATTTGACATAGTTCAGCCAAACGTATATTTTGCTGGAAATGATTAAATGGTGAGTGTGTCAAATCCATCTTTTTTAAAATTCATTTTTTAAAAAAAGGATGATTATGATTAATAAGTCTATATATTGACAGAAAGAAAGTGATACTACTTCAGTTTTGCTGGTATAACTTAATCTTGACAGTGTCTCAATACTGAGCATGCTTTGTTGTTGTTTTGTTGTTTCTGTTGTGTGTGTGTGTGTTTTCTCATCAGTATGCTACTGTCATGGAAAGATTTTGTTTACGTAGGAATCTAAAAATCTATTTAGTTCTCATGCATAAATGCATAAATCACATCACTTTTAGTGCAATGCCTGTAATGTAATTCCACATTGTCTAATTATGAAATCATAAAGACAGATGACAGCCATGAGGAACCAAGGACAGCAAATTTTGAGAGTTTCAGAGCCTGACACCCAAAGAAAGTATAGTGACAGTAGCTCTGTGGAATGTCACAGTTTTACAAGAACAATACTGTGTATTGAAAGAATCAACAGCACATTGAGCATTCCTAAATTGTTGTCATTCAGCAAACAACACTGAGGAGAGAAAAGGAAAAATAAACCCAAGACATCTTATGTAGGGAGTCAGAGCCACTAAATGACTACTATATACAACCTTTGGAAAGAAAGAGACTCAGAAAGAACAAAAGACACATAATATTTTGGGGAAGCTGATGAACGACACAAGACAACATTCACAATGGGGGTGGACTGATATGTGTATGTGTGCAGACCTACTAGGTAATACGATGAGAAAAGCATGAAGGTGCTATCTTGCCCAACAGCATTTGGAAGAGAACACAGGTGGGCACATTTAACCACTCCCCAGCATCTTTGTTGCACGTTGGTTGGCCTCATCAATTCTGGTTTTGTTGGAATCAGCCTAGAAAAAAGGAGAAAGAAAACAGAATTCAGGTTGCCTTTTGACATTCCATTCTTTCTTCTGGGTCTCTTTAATTGCCCCCTTCTTGAGGGAAGGCATCTTGAAACTTCTCCTGTCAGAACTGACCCTTTCTTCTTTTGTCATCCCAGAATAATTGCTTGTGGCTCTACTTGGATATGATCATAGAAGCTTGGTTCCCATGACTGTCCTACCTTACCAGAGAGCACCTTTTTGAGGACAGGGTTACCTCATTTATCTTTCTCTATTGGAATAGCACCCAGTGATATCTATGGATGGCATTCACATCTGCAGGATTGAGTTGAATTAGCACCACTTAAACAGCTGGGTTCAGATCATGGCTAACTTATTAGCAGAGTCACTTCAGGCCACTTACTTAATCTTGGGGCCTCAGCTTTCTTGTCTATAAGCTGGGGCAAAAAAGAATCCTGCTAACAAGCATGAGTGTCTATATCCTGTTCATTCAACCTTGACATCAAGATTGATATAACTATGAAGTATATACTATTATTAATTCCTTTTTCCAAATGAGGAAACCAGGCAGCCTGGAGCTAGAGTCCACACTAGTAATCACTATGTTAATCATTACTGTGGTACTTAGGTCTGCTGTGAAAATGAAATGAGTTTGTACATATAATGTGCTTTGAATAATTTTTTGCAAAGATTAAGTGTTCAATATATTCTATCTTACAATTATTGTTATTGGGTGAAAACTTGACTTGTTTTCAGGATGTTTAGTAACTTTTAGCCCCATTTCTGAAGACTCACTCCTATGAGTTTGACAGTTGGCTTGTATTTTTTTTTAAGTAGGCTCCACACCCAATATGGGGCTTGAACTCATGATCCCAAGATCAAGGGCCATGTGCTCTACTCACTGAACTAGCCAGGTGCCCCTTATCATTGGCTTGTTTGAACAAGAGCACTTTACCATAATTCTGTACCTTGACTGATCTCACTGCTTCAGTTACCTTTTGCTATATATGCAGCATGAAACCAAGAGTTGCTACCAGGACAGACTTTTAAACCCCAGAAAATGAACTATTCCCAATACCACTGAAAAAGGTATGAGTGAGCAAGCAGAGGCAAAGATGAAGATTCTGTTCAGGCTATTGTTTTGTCCTATCACGATTGGTAATGGTGTCTGACCCTCTCCAGCCTGGAAAGAGGAATACAAAGCTGAGAGGCAGTGTAGGGAAACTGAATTGCTTTTCTATCAACCAGTGTTTGTTCAGTGATTACTGATTTTGCATTTACTATGGTGCTTGGTGCTTTCCAATCTCCACCGAATTGGATCTTCTTTATTTAGTTTAATTGTGAATTCCAAGCATATTTAAAGTTATTTATATTCAACTAGAAATTTGCCAAGTTAAAATAGAAATATTGCTAGATTATTCAAAATTCTGAATTATCTGGCAACGATTTCCTGCCATCTGTTTGGATAATCAAAAGTTGACTTTGAAAACAAGTTAACATAGGGCATTAATTTTCCTTGATTGTTTGATCTATAGACTCATATTTTGGACCTTAGGTTCCTGATTTGGAAAACAGGTATTTTCTCCAATTTTACTTGGCTCTTAAATCTTCCCTCTTTAGCTACAAATCCTATTAGAAATAATGACATTTTGATGCAAAGAGCATTATAAGCCCAGACCTATGTGAAATGTTTCTGCAGATTAAATGATGCTATTTTTCCAGACTAAATACTAAGAAAAGCTCAAATGAGGAAAATCATTAATTTAAAAATGGATGGCATTTCTGGAGGCAAACATTCTGGAAACTCTTGCATTAAGAATGCACTGGTGAGCCTTCATCTGGTTCTAGAAGGAGAAATTTTGAAATAGAGGTTAATCTTTGGGCATTGTCAAAGGATCCAGAACTGAAGATCTGTGATTTCCACCTAAATTTTCTCTGAAGCGTATCAAAATTCAAACCAGATACCTTATGCAAAAGGTACTACATCTTTATTATATAACAGAAATAGCATCTTTTAGGAAGTCTCTCTGGTATTTGGAGAATGCCTTTGTGTTCATTCTGTTCATATGCCAGAGACGGGGCTCCACCCCATGACCCTGAGATCATGACCTGAGCTAAAACCAAGAGTTAGACTTCGAACAACTGAGCTATCCAGGTGCCCCAAGATTCTTATTCTTAGAGTGTGAGTTTAATTTACTCTTAGATACGCAAGAGATCTTTGTATTCTGTTTCCTATTAGCAGAAGTGAGAACTTACATGAGAGGGCAGAAATCTATTAAAAAATGTGTAGTTTATATAACATATATCATTTGCAGCGGTATTGGGTTGAAATAGACTCTATCGAGTCATGTTCAGATTGTGATAAGGAGGGTAAGACAAAGGCTAGTTATTCGAAGGCAGATAGACCCCTCTCTCACTTCTTAAACAATCCAGCACTTAGAGAATAATACAAACCATAACAGTTATTTCCCATCCACTTGCCTGACTTCCAATTATAATTCATAGCTGCATATGTCTTTGCCCCTGTAGTAAATTGAGCCCAAAATGAAACGTTTTACCTAGAGAAGGGAACTAGAAATGCAAAGTGGTAGAATTAAGATGCCACTTGCCTTTCCAAGAACTCTTTTTCTTGCTGGAAGTCCAACTCTATCAATAAAGATTTGACCCCTCTCTTAGTAAAAGTACTCCTTCTGGAACTCTAATTGAGTTAGAGATACATTATCTCCCCACATCTGTGAGTAAATTGGGTCCATTGACAGAAAATGAGTACTTCTGGTTTTTTCAAATAATTTTCCTGATGGAAGGTGGTTCGGCAATTATTTCTTAGTTCATTCTTCTGGGCCATAACGGGTTAGGTCAGTTTGTGTCAGCTCCAGCGCTTTTTGAAACTCTCAATATTATTCTAAAATCTATTGATTTGTGCAGCTTTAAAAGCCTTGGCATATCAAAGGCTCTTAACAATGGTAAGAGTGTCATGACTTGTAAAAGTAAGCAAAGCACAAGCTTTTTGCCAGCCAATAGTGACATCTGTGTAACTCAACATTGATCAGGGAAAATATTACGTGATGAGATATTTTTAATATGGAGCACATAGAGCGCAACAGGGCCAAGTGTTCCCTTGATGTCTACTCCTTCCTTTTTCAAGTCAGTGGAGGATGTCTGAGTACCAAGAAACTCAGTATTTAGCCTTATTTTCAAAGCATCCTTCTCTGCTCACCAAAGTGGAATGAATTGTTCAAAAGAAACTCAGGGTTTCAGCTTGAAAAATTCAGCATTTCCCAGTAAATAACCAATGTAACCATTGGTTACAGATGCACCATTACCATTAGGCCTGTAATGTACCTATTTCTTCCTGTTGGCATTTTGACATCTTATGAGATTATAAGCAATATTCAGGACTCTACTGATTGGGAAGGGAGCAGAATACAAGATCATAGACAGTATTTCAGATTTGTGTAGGGTGGAATATCAGGTTTTGGTGCCCCAAATCTTCTTATAAAAGGTATCCGGTGTTTCTGTTTCCTTCCAATCTCAAGCCCCTAAAACCATTCCCTTCCCATTCTATTCTCTTCATTTTTCTTTATGCTTCTTGTTGACACCAGGGGGTTCAGTCTTAGAGCCACATCTGGTGTCCTTGTGTGAACTCAACTTCATCAGATTATGCTTTCTATTTTGAGATCTGGACATGTGAACTGTTGAACTGGAAATGGAATCTGGGCCTTTTTGAACTATTATTAAAGCTTTGGCATTTATAAATCAAAGCTCATATTCATCTTCTGGTTAAACTAAAATAAGTGTTCTTTCCCCTATTTCCTGATTCTATTCCTACATCATCTCTTGACAAGCTCCTAAGTAAACTTTGAGACTCAATTTGACTTTTTTGGGAGATTTTCCTATCACTTAAGGAAAATCTTTTTCTATCCCTTTCCTATCACTTAGATCTTTCCTCATCTAACCCTACTTAGCATTTTATGTGTGGCACTCCCGGCAAATTATATTTTGTGTGGTAGTAAATTCATCTGGAGGCTCACTGCTCCCCATATGCTGTGAGTTTCTTAGCAGTGGGGATAATGTCTTTCTCCTCTTCATGTCCCTTGGTGCCTAGCACAATACCCAAAATAGAGGTGCCTCTGAGGAATATCTGATAGATTAAATTCTCCCTCTTATTTACTTATGTTGGTGAACTTTTGTCTTGGGAAATGAAGGGGGAAATTTCCATCTATCCCGTGTGCCTGAATCCAATATCACAGTTTGAGGGGCTTATGCCCTTCATCTTTCCTCAGTGGTATTTCGGAAGTAATGAACAATGGAAGCTCGCTGACTGCCACAAGCTCACCTTCTCCATGATCCTGTCGATCTGGCGGTTCTGTGTATCAATCTCATTGCCCATATCTAGGGCCATGTGACGGAGGTTTCCAATGATACCGCTCACCTGCTCCAGGTTTTCATCCATTTCATTTTCTCGGGCATCATTTGTTACCCTGGGAGTCAAAATGCAATTTTTAAAAGATAGAAATTGAGAAAAAAACTCAAATACCAAGGACCGAAAGCTCAGGGAAAATCTGTGGACCTTTAGGTATCAATCCCATCTACTTTTAATCTCTGTTCAATATAAGAACATTTTAGCTCTCATACAACAGAAAATAATTTGATTGATTGATTCATTGATTGGGCTCCACACCCAGCATGGAGCCCAATGCAGGGCTTGAACTCACAACCCTGAGATCAAGACCTAAGCTGAGATGAAGAGTCAAACTAACCAACTGAGCCACCCAGGCACCCCTAAAAAATATTTTCTAAATTTCATTTTTGAACCCCTTGAGTTTCAATTTTTAAGGAAGGCATATTAGATTAATTTATCTACTTATCTCATTTCCACCAGCACATCATTTCCTCCCTTCATATGTTTATCCCAATTTTCATTTTTAAGAATAAAATCCTTTTGGGATGCCTGGGTGGCTCAGCAGTTGAGCGTCTGCCTTTGGCTCAGGGCATGATCCCAGTCCGGGGATCGAGTTCCGCATCAGGCTCCCCATGGGGAGCCTGCTTCTCCCTCTGCTTGTGTCTCTGTCTCTCTCTTTCTGTGTCTCTCATGAATAAATACAATCTTAAAAAAAAATAAAATAAAATCCTTTTGTTGAGAGGATTGCCAGTCAGAGAACGAAGATGGAATTAGTTAGAAATTATATTTTTCTTTCTGAAATGTCAACCAAAGTCTCCAAAAGTTAAATTGAGAAAGAAAGGCTTTTGTGTTAAGTCAGAGAATTTCTCTGCTCATCTTCTTCCCCATTTGGGACCCAAATACATGGGAAGAGTAATGATAATTACAGTTTGCCCTTAATCCTGCTTGCTCCCAAGGACTCCAATGGGAGCTACTTATTCAAGATTTCTATTTGCTCAGATTTCAATGCAGTAGGGGGAGGGAGGGTTGGTGGCATTCTGAATGGGTGATTTCAGGGGAAAAAGTTGTGATAAAATATTGTTTCAGTTTGGGAAGGAAGGAGTTGACTCTCAAAGTGCCTTACCACCTTGTCATGTTTTTCATAGCTTAAGAGTTAAGGAGGTAGTAACTCTTTATTGTAAATGGTAAGTACTCATTCTAGAATGTTCTGGCTAATTAACATTTTCCCACTGCAGATGGTGATGCTAAAGATGTCCGATGGGGTTAAAACTCATCCCCCATGGTAACTCCCAGCATAGACTGGCCCACCAAGGTTTTTAACGCAGCCCAGGGCAGGGGAAATTAAAGGGGGAACTTCCTACTTTTCTTACATAGAAAAGAAGCTTATTTAAATGATCATCAACAGGTAAGGCATACTTCTGGCTCCATGACTCACAATACTGACAGTATATTAGAATTACTTGAGAAGCTTTAAAAACCAGAGATGCCTGGGTCTAACTTCTAGAGATTTTGAATCTGTTGGTATAGATTAGGCTCAGGTACTGATTTTTTCTTAAAAAAGACTTTGCTTACTTATTTAAAAGAGGGGGAGAGAGAGATAGAGAGAGAGAGAGAGAGAAAGAAAACAAGTGGTGGAGAGGAGCAGAGGGAGAGGGAGAAGCAGGCTTCCCACTGAGCATGGAGACCAATGCAAGGTTCAGGCCCAGGACTCTGGGATCATGACCTGAGCTGAAGGCATATGCGTAACCTACTTAACCAAATGAACCACCCAGATGCCCCTCAGGTACTAATGTTTTTAAAAAATAGCCTCAGGTCATTCTAATATGCAGCCAGTATGGAGAACCCGTGGTCTGGTTGCCCCGGGAACAGATAGAAACAAGTACAGAGTTGTCATCTGTGAGGCTTTATGTAGATATCTAAACCTTATGTTTCAGTGACAGTGATCTGTCATTTGAATCTGGATCATTGATTGGTAACATCAGTTACAATGGCCTGGGAATAGATAGGTGTACAACTATCTGTACACTACTCTAGTCACTAGGTACCCTAGTCACTGCTGAGCCCTAATATAGCCTTAAAAAGGGATAGGAGTTTTATTTCTTTTATTTTTAACAACAAAAATATTTGTAATTATTTATTCTGTTTTCTGGTCTGAGAGTTGAGTTCTGGATCAGCAGATTTGTGTAATTTGAGATTTTTATATAGGTCTGTAAGTTGGCTTTTACTTCCAGGTCTCAAAGGAAGTAAGTCAGGTATGTTTGTTATATTCTATTTGTACCCTCAGATCCATTCTCTCACCTGTTTTGCTCTCTGCCCAGAGATGCTGACCTCTCTACAACTGCATCACCCAGATTCTCTTACCCTCCAGCTTCCAATAGGCTTTGGCAGATGGCCAGTGAGATATTGGAGGGCAAGAGGAAAGAGGAATGTGGGCATTTATTTCCCTTTCTCATTTCTTGCTAGTTTTGCAATAACTGCATTTCTCTAGAGCCCCTCACCCACAGTGGTGACTACTGTCAGGTTCTGATAACAGCTCCTGTCCCTTTAGGACTCTTCCTGCTATTGCTAGTCCACAAATGCTTTATCATTGCTTGTTATTAACACTGCCCACACCCCTGTAAACAATCTCTTTCATAAGTTCTGTTCAATTCAATTTATGGAACGAAACACCTGTTTACTGCTACATTGATGCTGGATGTGGTCATGTGACTTGCTTTGTCTGATGAAGCTCTGGCAAACTCAACAAGGCTTGATAAATGTTTGCATGTTGGAGCCTGCCTCCTGGGAATGCTGCCACCACCATGTTAGAAACCAGGCCTCTTTGCTGGAGGGACAACACAGGAGAAAAGCGGAGGCGCCTTGCCCTAGCCAACCACCAGACGAGTAAGTGAGACCATCTTGGATCATCCTGCACCCATCTTCATGGAACGAGGGAGCCCAGGAGGGGCTCTTGGAAGAACTGCACAGCCAACATACACATTCATAAGTAACCAGTAAAATGGTTGTTGCTTCAAGAACCACTCAGCTTGGGGTGATTTGTTACTTAACAATGGAGAACTGCTACAGGGCTGGCTGCACACAGCTCACCTCCGAATGAAGCCACCACTGATGGCCATCTGCTCCCGTTCGTCCACCACACGAGCAGGCTGGCTGGCCACCACTCCATCCTGATTATTGCCCCAGGCTTTTTTGTAAGCATCACTTGATTTAAGCCTATGCAAAAAAGAGGGTGAGTGACAAGGCAAGGGGGTGGAGCATCAAACTCACAACAATGGTCACCTCTTCAAGCGAAGAACCGAACCAAGCAAATGGGTTTTAATTCGAGGCATTAGGGAATACCGATATATCATAATCTGGACCCAAACAGTTGGCCACCACCATGCCTCAGCTACTCAGCATTTCACGTCCAATCAAGCCAATTGTGATTGTCTAGATTGCAACTTTTGCCCAAAGGTTGTTCTTGTTTTGGTTTGTTTTTGCAGTTTAGTTGGATTTAAGACAAGAATTAAGGTAGCTGGAGGACATTCAGTTCTATTTCGGTGACATGGTTATATTTTGAGACACAAAACACACAGAAAAACATACTGGCAGACAGACACATAACAAGACTGCCAAGTAGAGTGTGTACATCACACCACAGCAACACACTGTCATCAAGAAAAACATACTTGACCAAGTTTTTACACACCATCATGCAAAGATTCCCTGTTTCAATTTTTCCCCCAATGCATGTATGGAACTAACTATTCCAACTCTGCATGAAGGACATAATGGGTTGGTGGTTGGCCAAGGGTGGTGGTCTTCAAGTTGCCTCTAGAGTGATTTGAATTAGCTAATATATCGGTACTTCCAAACAGTCACCATACATCTAGTCGATGTACAAACCTTTGTCCACAGAGACAAAAAGTAAAAGAGGCATAGTGAAATGAATGCAGGAAAATAGAAGAGAGAACAAGCCATCTAGCACCAGAAAAGGAAATCCCTCTACGTCTTCTTCATGCACCAGCTACAGGCATGAGTAGAAAGTGAAGCATTCTCACTTAAGCCAAACTATTCCAGAAGTTGACCATTCTCGGAAAAGGCACTAGCAGGACAGTAATAGCCTTCATGAGGATTTGAAACGCAGGTTCAATAGCTTCTTTGTCAGGCTGGGGGGCAGGGTGGGAATGATTACAAACTCCTACTTCAAGCTATCCTGGGATGTGGCAGGGGAGTGTGTCTGGAACTGGTGTGGTCTCCATGGGCCATGATTCACTGAGCTGCCTTGGAGAGAAACTTAAAATCCAGGCATACCTGTTGTGCCCAATAGAAACATGTGCAGCATATTTTGGTGGGTGTGTTGTAAAATTTAAGGCAATCAAAGATGTTTTTAGGTTCTTTGCATAGTAGAAACCACGTACTTCTTAGTCCAGAAACAAGAGAACTTCCTTTGGTCCCATTTTCATATTTTCTCTTATATGACAGCAGAATTTAACCCCTCCCCCCACTTTTTTTCTTGCACTGGAGAATCGCAGCCATCTATTAAAACTGGCTCCAGGGACTAAGCAACCCTGGAATAAGTTGGAAAACTGTACCAATGGAATTTCAGCAACTACCACAATCTAGTGTATAATGCCACAGCCCTCAGAGCCGTCAGAATTTACTGCACTAAAGAGCCATGGGCCCACTCAGTGGGACAGGATCCAAAAACTAATTCAATAGAGCTTAGAATCTGGGTTTTTTTTCCAACTCCCCATTCCCTTCCTCCTCACATTAAAAGAAGTTACATGGACTTTGTGATGTTTTCTGCTATGTAAAATATCTGGTATACCATCTTTGGCAAAGTCAAGGGGGTGGGAAAGTTTGCGTTTCTGAAAGAAGGCGAATCACTGCACCCACAATGCTGCACATAGACTCACATAACTGCCGTACATCTACCATAGTCCTTTGAAACATGCCGAGACAGGGCGAAGCCCTCAGAGAGTCCAGGGCACCACCAGCCACTGCGTTGTGACACATGGTTTTTAAAGCATTATTTACACACAATAGGGAACACTTCAGTCAAGCTTTGAAGCTCAGTTAGGGTCTCTTGTGCAATATGGAGTTAGTGCCAACTGCTATGTGTAATTCGTAGGGGCCATCATTTCATCTGAGCATTAGAATCCATCCCAGGGCAAGGCCTGCCTCCACGCTTTCTCCACACAGTTGATGAATGGGGAAATTGCATCTGTTGGAATTCATCATAAAACAGGTGGAAATCTCACCTGGAGGCCAGGTGGCCACTGAAAAGAATACACAGCTAAGTCCTGACTAACTGGAATGCGTAGCAATGAGTCATGTTGGTGAATTACACCACTTTCTTAATCAACAGTGGGCCATGGAGGAAAATTTTGTTTCAGGGGTGATTGTTGAATATGTTAGATTTTCAAGACACTTTCTTGCCTTAGAGTCTTGGGTAGTGAGCATGACCGAATTTTTCCTTGGTTATGGCTTTACTTGATGTACCTGATAGCCTTTCCTCTAGGATCAACTCTTACTCTTTGGTCCCCTTGGGTGTGGAAGTCACAGGATTGACTGTGGTGGCAGTCTGAGTGTCGACTGAGTGGCAGAACACAAACTGCCTAGATTGCCCTTCAGGAAAAATCATTTTAAGTCCCTGATGTGATTTCCTACCCTCCTTTGTTCAATGGTCTCTTTTTACTAGTGGAAGGAAAGCAAAGGTATAAATACCTTAGAGTTCCAGTTAGCTAGGTTCCAGTTAATCAGGCTTTGCTGTAGATCATTCTTTTAAAACAAGTTTAAATTTATTTGTAAATTGAGCCCCTCCCCCTCCTAAACAGGAAGTGGGATATTTTAAATCAGCCTCAAAGTTTAAAGGATGTGAATGGTCATATAATCAGCTAGAAATGACATCAATTGCTGTACTAAAAGCTAGGATCAGGAGAGCTTTTAGGAAAAAGGCTTCTGTTCAAAGGGAAGTGGGAGGGGTGACGGAGATTGGGTAAGGGTTTAATTTTCCAAATGCATGTTGGACAATCCCCTCATGCATTTTTTTTTTCACTGCTAGTCAAATAAGACTATCTTCCAGAACCCTCCTTTTCAGGTTCCTTCTGTTGCAAACCTTTATAACCACATGTCACATTTCTGCTACATTCCAAAAAAGCGTTGCAGAACCTTGAGAACAGTTGAATGTTTTGTGATGTCGTGCATGCAAAATCTACACATTTCAACATTTTGGTCAGTGTACGGGTAGATCTTCCAAGAGGAAGAATGTCAGAGGGATGGGTCCAATTTGAGTAAGGCTTGAGCACTTCTTGCTGAAGGGCTCATGGCCTCTGTGGTGGGTAGAGCTGGGGCATCTACAGTCTAATCACTGGGCAGATTTGGCAACTGGCAGGGCAATCCCTGTCATACTCTCTGTCTTACAGATGCTTGCTTAGGCCAAATTACCTGTATCTTTTGCTTCTAGAAAATCGAACCTTGCCATCCATATGTGTTTCTCGACTTCCAAACTTACCCCCAAACTTTTCTAGCTCTGCAATTTTGGCTTTTGGGATTGGGAAAAAATAAAATTCCCTGGATGCCTCTTTGTTGAGGCTAGTCTGTGTCTCAAGGTACACTTTCTGGAAAATGTTGAAACGTTCGTCAATAAAAGTTGCTGACAGTGAAGCTTTCACTGTAGTATGCCTGATTTTTAATGCATCAACAGTAACTCCCACTAATATCATCTATGCTATGAGATGAATGCATTGGAGACGGTATTGATCTGTTCTGCATGCCACATGCTCATCCTGACTTTGTGCTTGGCAGGAATGAGCTTGTCAAGGCTTGGAGATGGGCCTTGGGAAACCAAAGCTTCAGGCAGGCAGGCAGCACCTACTTGTTACAGGGACACACACAAAGCCCGCAGAATTTTCCTAGGTCCGTCAAATTCTTTTCTGCTTCTTTCATGTCCTTATTGATTTGGTCCATCCCTTCCTCAATGCGTTCCAGTTGTTCTGATTAAACACAAGTATTTTATCCCCACAGAATGAAGCAGATGGAAAAGGACAAAGAAAAAAAAGACAAAACTTCAGACATTCACTTTGACATTAAAAAAGAAAAAAATTAAAAGAAAGAAGAAAAAAAAGAAAACTGGACGCCACAGATTAGAGCTGGTACCCAGTACCTACTTGTTACAAGGACATATGAAAAGGCCACAGCATTTCCCTAAATCTTTTAAATTTTTCTCGGCCTCCTTCATGTCTTGGTTGATATGGTTCATGCCTTCTTCGACACGATCGAGTTGTTCTGGTTAGGACAAAGGGATGACAGTGTGGAATGAATTTTTTTTGGGTTTCCAACAGAACATGAGAAATGACTATGTGGAACGGAATTTGAAAGAGAAAGATATTACAATGCACGGTCCCAGAGGATGCATTGCTGTAGACTGCTGCCACCTTACACGAGCACAGGTGGAAGGAAATGAACAAGAAAGATGCTCAAAAGAGTCTGTAATTCGGACATGATGGGATGGAGGTACGTAGGCCTGTTTGATTCTGAGGATCCAGGAAAACAGCACAGCATAGTCACTTACTCAGGCACCAATGAAACCCGAGAGAAAGAAAAACAGGGTGTTAATGTTTTAGGAATTCAGATTTAGTGCTACTAGAGAAGGTATCTGTCTCAACTTTAAATATCTCTATTTTTTGGTTGTAAGCATCCTGGACCAGGTAAGGGTAGCAAATAGAATCAATCTTCTTTGGGGAAAATGACAATTAAAGTGATAGTTAGCAATGGGTACCAGATCTTTTTTTCCCTAGCAGTGGGCTGCTCCCTAGCCCAGGGGCAGTTCTTAGTTTTAAATACTTAATTCATACAGACACTGTTAAAAAAAGAAGCAACATCAGCAGAGTAATGTTCCAAGCACTGGGACATTTAAATTCCTCTCTTCATCCTATGACTTACTTGCTATCAAAGTTCTGGAAGGCATTTCACTTCTCTGCCTCCTGATTTCCCAGTCTCTACAATGGGGGGCATGTTAGATCCCTAACTCAGGCAGACAGCAGGGAAAACAAACACATGGGTCTCTGGAGGAGGGGTGATGGGCTGGAACATAGAACAGTACGGAGTCATCATTGCCAGCAAAGCGGACCTGAGTGCATCTGAGACATAGATCGATAGCCATAAAACCAGCTCATGCTTCTAGGTTGCCAGGGTTACATTCACTAACTTGATTAATTTTTCAAAAGTTATGGCACCACACTGAATAAATTACAAGTTCAGTGAAGGGGTTTTAAAAACAGTTTTTAAGACTGTTAAAGGAAAGCAGCAGTGCAATATCTTGACTGTCTAGTTACAAACCCTAATTATACTTCCATCCCTCTTTTAATCTACATTTCTATGCACACCTGCCCCTTCCCTTTAGGAATAAAAGCTTGATTAGAATAAAACTGATAAATACATTTCGAGTCTAAGGGCATAAATAATTGCTTAAAAAGAATTTCACATTAAATTGTCCAGTGGAAATTATTCCAAAAAATGAAGAAAAGTTCCTTACTGACCCAAACTGGGGAAACGGTCTATCTAGAAAACAAGAGTCTATTGTGTTCTCATTAATGGGGCTAAAGAATAGAATCCAGCTTATTTGGAATCTGCTACCTGTGCCACGCTTTTCAAATGATGGATGAAGGCAAAATTTAAGTGTTTCTCCAGCATTGGATAGCTGGAGAAAATAACAGTGTTGTGCTGGTGAACTTCTATTGCATAAGGATAGTCTAGTAATGTCTTTAAGAAAATCTTTAAAAGGACTAAAAAAAAAAAAAAAAAGTAAGTCTTTACATTCTAGAAGATTCTGTACTTTTACGGAGGCTTCTTTCTAGTTCCCTTTTAAGACTGTAATAAATTAGTCTATAGATAAAATTATCTATTGAATAGGGGGATTGGTAGAGAGAGAGGAGCTCAACATTGTCAAGGGAAGAACCATATTAAATACAGACAGAAATCCCAAAGGAATACTTGCTAATAGCTTCCTGAAATGCTGGGTTGAGATGGGACTGAAGGAGCATCTGGACTCAGGGAAAACATGAGACACTCCATTAATGATAGCTGGAATACACGCAGATTATGGCATGGGGATACACAGTCAGGCATTTGTCCTTCCTGAGGAGTTTCTCTGACAACATTTCAGAAGCCCCACTGACTGTGGCCAGGGATTATTAGGAGGTAATAAAAATAAAATATAATAAAATAAAAACATGAATTGGTCCCCAAGAGTTGTATTTCTGAACCAGAGAATTCAAATTAAAATATAAAAACAAATGTGCTCGTCCCAATTGGTATTTCTTCAAGCTGTTCAATCATGGGTTGCCAGACTGTTAGGCGAAGGCCATAGTTAAGAGAGGGATGCTGAAGCTCTTTCAGAAAAGTTGATTCAGAAAATGATTTTATAGCTACTAATATTGGTTGAATTTATCATTTTACACAATTATAAATCAAATCCCTTAATTTAAAAAGTATTGTGGGACCATTTTGTCATAGTTAATTCTAACTATTCATTTTTAGAGTGTACTGTGTTAGGCATATTGAGACTTCATGGCATTTCAATGGATTTCTGTGATGACATCTCTCAGGAATGCTTGAAAATAGCCAATATCTTCATTCCAACCTAGAGTGGCCAGCAGCATCTTACTGGCTGATCCAATGTACTGTCCATAGTTGACTGCTTCTTACCTCCCTAAGCTTGTTTTCTGCTTTCTGTCTATTCTTGGAGACTGGGAGAACAATAGCATTTTGAGTTAGTAGAGGTATTCCAGTAGATTATACTATACGTTTGGGCAAGAGATTGTACCTTCTTTTGCCATATTTGGATGACTGGTTATTTATGATAGTTCCACCAATGGCAGGATACTCAGGGATCTAAGTTTAGACATCTTTTCTACTAATCTTTCTAAAGTATGGCAACCTGAGGCCCTTAGCATACTCAATCTGGTTAAAAAAGAAACAAACAGTAGAAGAAGAGCAAGATGTCAATGCTATTGACCCAGTGTGGAAGCCTTTATAAGTATATTCAGTTACCAGATGCTGCCTATATGATTTTCATTATCCTTGATGAACAAATGGAAATTCATTAAATAAATTTAAGTAGCCATATGTGGCTAGTGGCTACCATATTGGACAGTGCAGCTTTAGTTATTCATAACAGATACTGGTGTATAAATGTTAGCAAAAGAAATGTTTTCTCAAATGCTACTTTGTAGTGCCTTGAACCTTTTAAGAAAGTCAGCAGGCACTCTGGAAGAGGCCTTACTCTGCCCTTACTCTGTCAGGCAGAGGTCAAAGATTTCACTGTTTAGTTTGGTGTTGATCCCATGGGATTTTCCCAAGGGCTTCATCTTCAGCATTGAAACAAACACATAACTCAGCAAAGACCAACAAAAGGATCAAAAGATATGGAGGTGAGAGTTTATATCATCCCATATTTGTGATAAGGTGGTTTCATGGGGATTTCACTTCGAGACAAGTTTTCTAGAGGAATAAAAGTCCCAACTCAGTATATTTCCAGGGCCATCTGTCATGCTCAGTGCTTCTCGGTGTCTCCTGATACCTGGGTATAAAACAAGAATCCCATAAAGAATTTCCGAGTGCAACCATTTAGCTGGACAACCTGGAATAGTTCTTTAGAAGGATGTCTGTTTCTTGAAACTCCTGTGCAGCTGCAGGATAGAAGCAATCAACATTTTTGGTGTTGAGGCATAGACAAAATTAGGAGAGCATAACTGGAGAGAAATTTTAAAGCAGTTACTGATCTAAACAACTAAACACAGCATATGCAGAATGAAAATGCATTTACCATGACAATGAAGATAGTCATTTATGACTATCTTAAATGACTTTAAGCTCATCATTTTACAAGATCCTAATCACCTTATAGTATAAATGGAACGTGTACCCCTTAAGACTAGGCAATAACTACTCACTCTTGGGGGTTTACCAGTTGTGTGTTTTTCTCAGTATCATTGTGATCCCCACCCATCTGGTAAAACCAAGGATATCCTAGGAAATATGTTTAACCGAGGAATTCAGCATTTTATGGTGTGGCCACAAATGAAATGTTTTAGCTGAGAACATGAGCTATCTTGTGGGGGAAATCTGCTATTCTGCTTCCTTTCTCAGAAAGGAAGTTGCTATACCTATGGGAGAGGTTGCTGGGAATCATTTGTGCTTATGAATAATATATTTCTGTGTGGAGATTTTGGCAAATTTTATCTTCAGATTTTCTTCATCAAAGTGCAATGAAATTTGCAACTCAAGTAAGCATGTTATTTCTCTCTTTTTGATTCTAGAGTTATATATATGTACATATGACATCAATGCATATCTGCAGCATATAATTCTAGGAGTAGAATGTCTTGGTCAAAGATGGGTGTATGTCATAATTTGAAAATATTATCAAATTACTCTTCAAACATTTATAACAGTCTATAGTGCCTATCTGTACATTGAAGATGACTGTTTTCTCAATATATTCACAGCACTGGTGATTATCAATTTAAAAAATTTGTACCAGTCTGCTAACGAGAGGTATCTCATTATTGTTATTGGTTGAAGCATGATTTTTATTGGTTGAAGCATGATTTTGTGTCTATTTATAAGTGGGTGATTTATATCTTACATCAATTTGCTTGTAGGTTGTTGCCCTTTTCTTTGATCATATGCAAAGTTTCTCTCTATATTAGGAAAATGCCTTATGTCTGTTATCTGTATGGCAATTCCCACCCACCCCCATCTGAGGTTTATTTATTTTTGAAGTTGGAGGTGTCCCATGTTGTGAATACAATCTTACATTTTCATCTTTGACATTAAAAAAATTATCATGATTCCTAAGAGTTCTTTAATGTTTCAAAAATATAAAGAAAAAAATTCTCAACAATTTTCTTGTTATAACAATTCAGAATAGAATCAGGTAGCTAACATGTGGCTAGAATTAAATAAGCATCGTCATATGACTAGATGTATTGAGACAAAAAGAATATTACTCTTCTAGATTCCACTTTAGAGTACAGAGATGATTTTCATAGATTCTCTGATTTTCATTGCTTCTAGCATTACCATAGTAATTAAAACAATTTAAATATTTTAAGTGGTTCAGTTTCTCATTTTCCAATGGTCTCCCTCAGCTTATGTCCTTTTAAAGACCTAACAGGACCTAGTTACTTAAGGAATCTTCATGATGACTTGGAAATCAAAACTGCCAGATCCTGAATTAGGATGGTCAGAAGAAATGGATGTGATATAATACTATTCTATCATCCTATCTAGGGATTATTACAAGAAAACTAAGTTTACGGGAAAAATTGGGGATAAGAAGGATAAGAGATTTCTCAAACTGTCCAAAACACTACCATTAAAGAAAAAAAAAAGACTTTTCCCTTCAAAATTCTGTTACTCCAATATACATGAGAGGGACAGTAGTGACATTTAATCAGTCATGAAGGCCTCAACATTACCATACATTTACCAATCTTTTCAATGGAGAAAGGGAAAAAAGCAAGACGGTGAAAACTCTAGAATCCTCATACTCATATACATACATAAATATATTGAAAGGATCACCTTTGTATGGACAAATAATTTTTTTAAATGCACTTTATTCAGATGAGAAATTGTTCTTACTGAAGAAATCTCAACTTACCTCCTTGTTCATCCAACATAACCAAAGTCCTGATACCAGCATCTTTACTCTACATTCCAATAATGGTAGCAAAGTTGAAAAAGAGTTAGAGAGAGAAAAGAGAGAAAGAGAAATCAGTAAGGGGACAATTAGCCCTAGAAATGGAAAATGAAGAAGGACCAAAGGAGAAAGAGGGAGGAAATAGGGTAAGAGTATTAAGGGCTGGGGAGGGGCTCAGAGGAAGAGGTTACCTGTGGACCTGTTCTATCGGTGAATCTTAGGGTAGATAAGGGGGATGTAGCTCAGTCTCCATGGGGGTAGGGCTGGGGCTTGGCACAGAATTGGAATACACAATTTAATAATATACTGGGGTTTTATTTTTTGCAAGACAAAAATGCCTTATAGTTTCTCTAACACCAATCATAGAAAGCAAATCTTTCAAAATTTTCTAGACTAAATCTTCTCTGGTATGATACATCAGGAAGTTTCCCTCAGTGAATTGGAAGGAGATGACCCACAGGAAAGTAAGAAACCTTGGGGGTGAGATTTTTAGGTTTATCAAAAGAGATGATTACTTCACAAAGATTGAGAAATACAGCCCCAAACAGAAATCAACCTCCTACTTTCTCTCTATGGGGAAAAGTTCTGTGAAGTTTAGAAAGCTGATGGACAGATGAGAAATAAAGGCTCTATATTCTGAGATTGAAAATGTGCACAATAATAGAGTGTGAGAAAATAATTCACCTACAAGTTTTACTGCAGTTCTTTTGTGTAGAAGTCTGCAAAAGGCACTCCTCATCGCACTCCAAATGATCTAAACAAACTAAATGCCACCTAAATTATTTGGTGGAGGTGAGTGGGAGTTGGTGGGTAGGGGAAAAGGAACACGGATATTTGGATGTCTCAACCTTAAAAACTGTCATTGCTGGGATCATTAGCAATGCCATTTTATACTTCTTAACAATCACCCTATAAAATGAAAATCTTTCCTTAACTAGTTTGAATTCCCAGCAAGATTGAATTCCCCAAGATTGGGTGGTCGCTGGGTTGGTTAATTCACTCAGCTGTTTGTTCATTCATTCATTCATTCATTGACTGAATATTTATTGAGCCTCTACTCTGTTCCAGGCACTAAGTTAAGTGCAAGATACGTGTACAGCTTCTCAACTGCTTCACAGTGTACGACACAGTTTAGGTTAGGTGGACAGAGCTGGGGTCTGGGAGTCAGTAATTCCAAATTTTAGACTTATCTTTGCAGTTCTCTTGCCCTAGAGTCACTTGTTCTGTGTCTCAGCTTTCCTAGCTGTCAGAGAAGGACAGAAACAGCTCCCTCACTTCCCAGGGTACTTATATGGATAAAATGAGCTACAGAATGTAAAGGTTCTAAATATTCAACTCTGTGGGAGGCTATGGTTCCAAAAAGCAATTAAGATAAGGGATTTAATTTGTATAGAATCTCAAACAGTTTAGACTGGACTGCTGTGTTTGTTTTCTCAGATCCTTTCCCTTTTTATGAAATTCTCAAAGGAAAAAGTAAATATGGTAGGAGTTGCTGATGGAAGAGAATTGCTGTGTCTAAGAATTCACACTCTGGGATTAAAAAAAAAAAACAGCAGTTTTAAAAAAATAATAAATTAATTTTTTTGAGCTGGGTTTTAATTTCGTCTCTGCCATTTATAGCTAGGTGTCTCAAGCAAGTTACTTATTCACTGGGTACTTCAAGTTCCTCCTCACTAAGATGGCGATCAGAATAGTAGTGAAAGTGTGTACCTACGAGGGTTAAGTTAGATTATATATAAGTTAGATTATATACCTTTGACGATGATGGCTCTGGTTATAGTACCCAGCACATAGTAGGTTCTCAATAAACATTAGAACCTACATTTGATCCCACAGTTTTGCTGATAGTTTTTAAAATGAAAATAACTGGATTTTTCTTTGGGGAAACTAGAAATGCAAGGGAGGAGAAGGACAGGGATGAGGACAATATTTTGAGGAAGGCAGAATATTACTTTCTCTTATTCTTAACAAGTATTTTGTTTTGATAGCTAGGAATGAGAGGAGGTGGTTCCATTGTTGTCTTAGCTTGATTCTTGGTTTCTGTTTGAGTTTGCTGGGAAAATTGTCTACCCAAAAACTAAAGAGTTGGAGATAATGAGGAATTTTTTTTTTCATTTCTTTCTTTATTCTTTTTATTTCTCTATTTTTATTTTTTTGCAGATGAACTAAGACTATTTCTAGAACATTTTTCAGTCTTTCTTTGATCATTCTGAGATGCTTCCCCCAAAATCCAACACATCTGAGCTAAAACCAGGACTCTCCAGGCACTTTCTTAACCACTAGAATTCCAAAAGCCTCCACATCTACCTATATGAAAAGAACTGCCCTGCCTCAATTTTCTAGCTTTAGTAGAAAGTCTGGCATAATAAAGACATGGCTTTAGAACACTTATTCTCATTACCAAGGTGTCTTGGAAGATAAATTGGGATGAGAAGAAAAGATGCTTAAAATAGCCATGCAATGTTGAAGAGCCTCAGTAACTACCACTCCATGAAAGCTCTCTGTGGTGCTAGTGAACTGGCCTGCCCTCAAGCAGTGGGGGCTTTCCTGGGTTACTTTTCACAGCCCAAGGCATTCACGTGTAGACTTCATTTCTGGCAGGTAGTGTCAACAGAGTTAACTTTTTTTGCCTGGAACCAAATATTACTTTCTTAAAGAGGTATTCATGATTCTATTACCAGAATTAATTATATGTTCTGAGGCAGGGAAGGTCTTGAGTTTGGAGAACCATTTTCATACCTGCTTTCCTACATGATACCAATTTATATCTTACCTCCCACCCCCAAAGTTAGGTATTCCATACATGTTTGTGCAAGTGTAGTCATCAAAAGGGCAAGTTTGCAACTCTAGGCTGGGAACCAAATGTTATATGATTTCTAATCTTTTTACCTGTGTAGGGTATCCACTTTTCTTTATTTTCCCAACTGACTTCTGTGTCACTTTACATCGTCCTTGAAATGCCATTAATGGCTTCTATTAAAAAAGCAAGTTTCTATATCTGCCACTCTGTTACACCCTAGTCTGTGAGGGATGGCACAAAATCTTATTTGAACTGAAAGTGGGGTTGTCTGCCGTAGGGGGGCTGCACAAGTTTTGCAACCTTTCCTGTCTTTGAGACTAAATTTCAATAAGAATTCAGTTCAATTCAAATTATATAGCACTGATGTACTTTGGGATCATGGGCAGGATCCCACTATTTCAGTGCTCATATTTGCCAAATGATTTCTGCCCTTGATGAATATTTAATGCCGATTCTCTTTAAAGACAATTTCTTTTTTGATTGAAAAGCAGACTATCCTTTGAATAGCCAATGTTCTAGACATAAGGGGTATTTGACCATCAATATAAAATAACCCAGGAGGAAGTAAGAGCAATCAATCTATTGCAATAATACCTTGTTCATAATTTCCTAAGGATAGAAAGTCTAATAGCCTTCTCTCATTTATTAGAGGTAGGAACTAGCTTCCATCTGTTTCACCCCTTGTTCTAAGATGCAACCTCATGCATGATCAAGAAATCCTTTAGGAGAAACAAAAATGTATGATTCAAGTATCCTACTTCAATCAATAGAGCTTTTGAGACTCCCCCCCTCCCATAAGTTAGAGCAGACACTCCTTACTCAAGACTGGTTGACACTGCCTGCAATTTAAGAAGAGGCAAAAAAAAAAAAAAAAAAAAAAGAAGTATTCACTGGCTCAAAGACTCCAATGGATGAGGGGCCAGTTCAGAGTGATGTGTTTGATGCATTTGCTCCACCACTTCCCACAGTGTTTCAACACTGCACAGGAAGACAAATTGGTGATAGTTCTGGTATTTTAGAAATTTACTTCACGTGGGCATACATGTAAATGAAAATGAAAAATGAGCCCAGAGGCTATGGTTGAAGGTCATAAAGATGTATAACATAACTAATTATGTCAGCTGACATGTGGGTTCCCTTCAGGTCAATGTGATATCTCATGTGGGAATTTATGAATTTACTCTTTTTGCTTGTTCTCATGATGGGTTAAGGGACAACAAGTCAACTCTGAAAACCTTGCCAGCACTCTTAGATTTAGAATACCTGCCTCCTTCTTGGTCCTCAAGTATTTCTGCACAAGTGGTATTCCCAGGATAGAGCAAGGACAAAATTTCTCCTCATTTAGAGAGGGAAAGCTGCTCCCTGTACTGCCAAGGGCTCCTTTGTTGGAGGGCCTTCCTGTGGGGGCCAATTTGTGTTACACTGCAGGCTCAAATGCTCATTTTTCACCAGGCTCCTTGGTGTCCTGGGGAGCTCATGGTGCCCCCTTCTCCCTACTCCTTCTGTGGCAATTCGCAACAATTGACATTTAGCCAATATTTCATTTCTGGGTAAGAAGCTGAAGCTGCAGAAATAAAGGAAGATGTTGGCTTCTGTAGTGTGAAAGGCAGCTGAACTTCATTTTAGTCTTATAACATTGATCTTTCTTTCCTTTCATGTCATTGCATAAGCAATTTACAGTAGCGCGAGGCAAGTAGGCTCATTTAATCATTCTGCTCAAGAACATGCAAGATCTCTAAAAATGATAACCACACATGAATTGATAAGCAGTTTCAAAGCATAGCTAAAACAGCATTTCACTGAATAAAAAACCATTAGGCTTGTTTTATTCAGTTAAGATAAATATAGCCCATCCCATTCTTTTTCCACTTCATCTCTCCCAATGGGCAAGTTCAATTAAACCACTTATTCTTCTTGGTTGACTGCTGCTCTCCCAAATTGGAATGAGCAAGGTTTATTGTAAATGCCCTTTTGATTCCATTATTGCTATCTGCCCTATTTTACCCATTTAAAAATAGTTTGGGATTCATTAACCATGCCTCACAAATGGATGTTTAATCCAGAGTCGGGAATCTAAAAGAGCTTCTATATTTGCATTATGGACTTGTAATTCCTTTTATCAAAGAATTTTCCTATTACTTCGTGAATTTTAGTGCCTGACTCTCAATATTACAATTTCTGCAAATGTTGTATCTATTGGGATACATATTTTTAAAAGTCATAAATGTGGCTGAGTCAAAACAGAGTATCAAGATTAGATGTGACTTAAGAGGCATCAAAATCATTACAAGTAAAGTTTTTATGTAGATAATTCCTTTATATTTGCTTAAAGTGATTCAATCTTCTGCAATTTCTTAGGAGCATTTACTTGGAAGTACCATCCTTCTCTACTTCCTCATCTATAAAGGTGGCCAGGACTGGGAGGGAGAGGGGATCATTTGATGGCTAACTGACATCTCCCTCATTAATGTGGATTCCTGGTAGGCGACATTAATTCTGTAATCAATGGGATCATGGCCTAGGAAAAGGCAGTAGGGTCTAGGGAAAGAATATGCCCGCAAAAGGGATTAGTTTATCTTGAAATATGGCCACTTCTTACCTCTTCAACCAGTTGCAGCATACGACGGGTGCTTTCCAGTGACTGAGATTTAAAAAAAAAAAAGTTATGAGTGCAGGATCCAGAGGTCTTTGAAAATCAGAACTACTCTCTTCACTTGAGAAACACAAAGGGTTACTTTTTTTTTTTTCACAAAGGGTTACTATCACATATTCTTTTAAGTTTATGACTGAAACACATTTTCAATCTCTTTCCTATCAGTCTTTCTACATAATAAGATTCCCTAAAGCAATTACATTAAAGCTGATCTTCTAAAATCAAAACCATATGAAGCTGATCTTGATATCAAAGACAAAGTAATCTGGAAAAGATAATTTTGCATGTGCAGGATGCATGAAAAATTATCTCAAATACTCAGAGGATTAATTTGGCCTCCTTGGACCAGGAATATTGAGTTTTAAACACAAACATAATTTTTCATGAATTGAGATGAATCTAACATCAAGTTTCTTATAAAGCTCCTAGAAACACAATTGGAAGCTCTTATCAATACAAATTAAGCTGTCGCCTTAGGGTGAAAAAAAATTCAAGCATGTTTGAAATAACTAGCCTATAGGAGACAGCTATAATAATTATCTCCATCCTTAGATAAGACAAAGTGAGATGGAAAGTCTGAAGTCAGCACTGGTCCCTCGGGCACATCGTTGTCACTTTTTTCTCAATTCCTTTGAAACTAACTAGTAGACTCCGGCAACCACTGTGATTTCTCAAAGCTTTGCTTTTAAGTGACAAACTTATTTTGGACAAGATTCTGCAAGAACGGGAAGAACGTGAACTTTCCTGGAAGAGCTGTCAGGAGGCTGCTTGTTGAAATAGAATGGCTGTAAGCAGTGGTATCCTGGTAAATGCTAAAATATATGAATATTAATATGTAAAAAGATATGAATATGTGTATTTAAATTGGTTATTTTCCCGATATAGGGGAAGGAGAGCATAGTATTTACAAATAATAAAACATACAGTGCCCTTTATTATATATTCCATGTAGCCAATTGATTCTCACAGTAAGGTTTGTTAAGTTTTACTGAACTCTTGTGTCCATTGCTAAGCATGCAAAGAACAAGTGTAGTTCTGACATGGATGTCGGTTGATATTTTCATTAACAAGTAAGAGGACAGTGCAACAATGAAGATATATTAGACCTTTGCTAGTTTGTCAATGATGCAAGTGACTGCTGAAGAGAATAAAAATTTTCAAATACTAGAAGATTTTCTCCATTTTTTGTGTTAATTAAAGAGTAATGGCTAGAGACACGCACACTTTTAAGTTTATTCTGTTATTAATATTTTCTCTACTTTCTTAAGTCTAGACAGTCAACAAAACAGTAAGTCAAATCCTGATTTGTAGTGTTTGCAGATTCCTGTGATATAAATACTCCTAACCTGTCTGATTTTTAAGCAGCGTGGTGTCACTAAAGGTGAACTTGGGAAGGTGTACAGTAACACACTGTTATAGGGTATTCCTATATTATAGCTATAAAACCAAGAACTTTGAGAGCATAGGTAGTAGTAAAATATAGGAAAATAATTAAGAAGTGATGAATTTTGAGTATTTATTGCCTTTGATTTTTAATTAATATCATCTATTTTTGTCAATTTATATAATTAAATTTTAATACCAGCCTGTAAAATTCTAGAAAACATAACAATCAGCTCTCAGAATTAGGCCACCTCCAGACACCCAAAGCCATTGCTTTTTTTAGAGGGTCTTGATTTCTCTAGATTTTTAGAAATTGGGAGTTTAGGCTAAGATATTAATTGTATATAGGTTTATCAACCCATTCCTGTCTGTAGAGGTGTCAGGTGTATAGAAAATCAGTCATACTCCTCTGTTTTTTAAATTGAGATGTTAAAAAACCTTTTCCGCCTGAACCTGAATAAGACCAAGTACTCAGCTCCCCATCTTTTGCTCTTTATGTCCCATCCCTCACCTCATCAGCCAGTTGGTCAGCCCTTCGCTGCATCTCCTCCAGCTCATTGCGCATGTCTGCGTCTTCGGCCATGGTAGTGGTTGGGGGTGGCTGGGTGCTTGGGCTGGGGGATCAGTGATGGCTTTGGACACAGAACCTGGAAAAAGCAGATTTGAACATGTAAGAGTTTATATAAGGACATGTCGTATGTGCAACAGGAGATCTAAATAGCCCATGCTGTCTCCATGACTCAGTCATCTTCTGAAAGATGGAAGCCATATTCAGACAGGGTTCAATAAAATTTTGCTGTTTCTCCCAAAGGTGCATTATGAATGCATACTTGCCAGCTTTACAATGTCTACCTATGAAGCATTTTTAAGACACGAACCATCCAAGAATTTGGAATGATGATATGGAGGGATATGGTTCTGGGTTAGTATATTTTTAACCTCACATTTATTTTATATTTTTATTTTATTCTTAAGAGCTTTATTGAGGTATGATGGACATACAATAAATCCCATATATTTGAAATGCATAGTTTGAAAAGTTTTGACATTTGTACACACCAAGGAAACCATGACCACAATTAGGAAAACATATCCAACATCCCCTAAAGTCTTTTCATGCTCTTTGTAATCCTACACACCCTCATCCCATATCACCTGGCCCCTGTGATGAAACAACTGCTTATCTGTTCTCTGTTACTATAATATATATAATATATATTAGTTTATATATATATAAATTATACATATATATATAAATTATATAATATATATAATATATATTAGTTTGCATTTCCCAGAATTTTATATAAATGGATGATAGAGTATGTACTGTTTTTGTCTCATTTCTTTCACTTAGCATAATTATTTTGAGATTTATTATGTTGTTGCATAAGTTAATAGTTTGTTCCTTTCTGATGTTGAGTAGTATTCCACTGCATTTAGAAGCATTTAGAACGTAGGGGCAAAGGACAGGCTACCCCCAGATATGCCACTTTGGCATGCAGATTATTTCGAGCTGAAAATAATCAAGGCTCAGAAGACTCAGGAATAATATTTGACCTTCCCCCTAACTGCCTACGAGAATTCCCCCTAACTTCCTCCAGGAAAGGAGCAATCACCACAACTAACTATAACGAGGATTAGGTGTGGTAGACAGAGAAGGATTAGTGTAGTCTGATTATTAAAATTGCTCCCTATGTCCCATGTTTCTGTATGGCCCAGCCATACAAAGGAGTAAATGTTTACCAAACATCTCAAACCCTCAAATGTTTGGTAAACATTTACTCTTTTTTATCTTCCAGTGAATTTTTTTCCTTTCCTTTGAAGTTCCAGACTCTTACCTTCTCTTTAGTTCTGGATGACATACATACCTCATTTTGCCAATCTTTGGAACCCAAATCTATGTGGATTCCCCAGACATGTATAATTAAATTTGATTTTCTCCTGTTAATCTGTCTCATGTCAGTTTAATTTTTAGACCACCTAAAAGAATCTTCAAGGATAGAGGTAAATTTTTACTCTCTAGCAAGGAGCTAAAGGCAGAAAATCTTTAGTTTCCTTCAGTTGTTATCAGAGATTGCCAAGAAGGCTTACGTGAATATGCACAGCTATTTTTCTAAAAAGAGATGGATCCTTTGTATGTGAAATATGACCAGCACATTTCTTGGTTACTCTCTTGAAATCTCATATGATACAAATTATAGGTAGTCAGACTGAGCTCCCTCCAGAGCCAATAAGCCCCCTCCCTCTCTTCCTTTTTCTTTTCTTTCTTTCTCCTCTCGTTCCTTCTTTCTCAAATATTTATTGAGTACTTGTAACATGCCAGGACAGTGTTAGGCACTAAGGATATAGTAATGAATGAGACAGGTAAATTCATTGCTGTCATAGAGCAACAGGCTAATTAGGAAGATGGGAGTAAAATAAGGAAATTAAATTATTCAGTGTGAAACTAATTATATTTGAGGACATACCATGGCTGCCCATGGGTCACAGCAGGCCTTCCTGAGGAAGTCATGTCCCCAGGAAAGGCCATCAGAGGTGATAGGATAAGAGTCTGAGGAAGGGTTTGAGATGATAAATATATGATATAAGACCTTCTCTGCGAGTAGCACAACTGTAGAAGGCATGGGCTCTTGCTTTGTGGTTGAGATGGCCAAGTGTGCATTGGAATATTTCCTCCCTCTTCCATGGTAGAGCATGGTCTTGGGGACATGGCTGCTCAGATGGGAATTACATTTCTAGTTCCCATTGCAAGGAGGTGATGCATTGCTAGAGATGGCTCATGTATTGCAGTGGGAATGATGTGCATCCTTGCCAGGCTCAGGCAGTTCAGAAGCAGGCATTCCTTCCATGTCCTCTCTTTCCCTTTCTCCCCCCCAAAAAAAAACAGGGCCCTAGTGGATGACCAGGCCATGAGACAGCAAGAACTTGGGCCCTTGGAATTCCTACATAGAGGCAAGTTGATAATGAACCATAAAGACCCAAAACTTCATAAGAAATGACAGTGCACTTCAACTATACTACACTACTGAAACTGTGAGGATTTGGTTTTGTGATAGCAGTGGGTATTATACTAACAGAGGAAGGCCTGAAGAAACTCAAAATGGGATAAAAATATTGCATAGGAGCATGATTTCCCAACCAAAAAACACATCTGTGTTTGTCTTCTATTGAAAATTGAAGATGGGAAAAGAAGTTAGATGTAGGGCCTTGGAGCAATACCATGTTTAATTATTATTCTAAAAATTATTTTTGTTATAATTTGTATTAGAAGCATTTTGTTTTTCAAAAATGAGATGAAAACTCTTCAAAAATAATCAGGTTTGCAGTGGCAGGCCCTCAACGACCTCATCTCCCAGGCCCACTGCTATACTGCTTTCTCAACAGCTAAGGTTGAACTCTTCCTGGGATTTTAATTTAGCACCTATTATTAGACTCTCCCACATGTATTACTCTTGTGAAGTAACTCAGACTATTCAGTGTTCCTCAACAGGAGGAGTCCTAAAGTGAATCTTCTTTGGAGATAATAGATTTCACAGTTCTTTTATACCCAGTGGTTCTTCAGCAAAGTGACAAATGTGGAATCACGGTAAAAAAAGAAGGAAAAAAGCTTCAGGACTACATTCTACTTACCAGCATTAAAAAAAAAAAAAAAAAAAAAAGAGGTAGTAAGCTTAGCTTAGTTCTATGGGCAGCCATTTAAAATGTCGACAGAGCATCATACCATACGCCTCCTGATTTTTTTTTTAAATGACTTATTTGAGAGAGAGAGCATGAATCAAGGGAGAGGGAAGGGGAGAGAGAGAATCTTAAGCAGATTACCCACTGAGCATGGAGCCTGGCACAGAGCTCAATCCCACAATCCTGAGATCATGGCATGAGCAGAAATCAAGAGTCAGATGCTTAACCAACTGCGCCAACCACGTTGCCCTGAGCCTGCTAATGTTTAACACCAATTCTGGCCACCAGAATATGTACTCATGATATGATATACAGCTTTAAATGCTTTGTGTTTTACTTAAACACAGATCTCCACTTTGGAAATTAGGGAACTAGCAAACAGAAACTGGAAGGAATTTACACTGAGCCACTTCTGAACCTTAAAATAAGCAGAAATAAAATTCCAGTGTTTTTCTGAATGACTGGGATCTACCCCCTAAAATAAAATGGTGTATCGATGGAAATGTAGAGTAGTTTATGAGCCACAGCTATGGTGTGAACAAGGGTTTCACAGACGATTGACTCTGGCACTCAGTTGCTGGATGACTTTGGGCAAGTTTATCACTGTCTCTGAGCCTCAGTTTTTTTCAACAGGGTACATAATTCCAGTCTCATAGCCCTTCTGAAGGTAATTATATTATAGAAAGTTCTGCCAACCTTGTTTGTAAGAATGTGGGAGCTTCATATTCAGAAAGCCTTGCTCATTCAGGATAAGCCTGTACCCATTGCTAAGAGTGGAACAAATGCAGTATTTGTTAATTAGCTTTCCTTTACTAACAGCTGGGCAGGAGACACGTTGCTGTGGTGCTGAGCACCCGCAGAAGACTGAAACCAGGGAAACCAGCAGAGTGCCAGAGCCTGCAGTCTTGAAGCAGCACCTTTCGCAAGATTGCCACGTGGAGATAAATAAGTGCACCTTCTCACCCTGTTCTCTATCTTTGTATTTTGCTGCTGAGTTCCTTGGGGGAACATCTTCCTTCACTCTAAGCAAGCAACTGACCTTTCTTTCCTCCTAACAGGTTAGTTTATTAGAAGGCAGATCCTGCACCTTCCAACCTGGATTATGATTGCTAGTTCCTTCTTCCAGGTTTATTTGCTGATAGTGCTCTGTCTCACCCTCTCTTTGTCTCTCTGTCTCTCTGTCTCTGTTTCTCTCTCTCTCTCTCTCTCACACACACACACACACACACTCTTTCTCTCTCAGGGCTCATGGGTTTCCTTGGCAATTTCCTCCCAAAGTTGCTATTCTCAGCACCTGAAAAACAGCTGTTGGGCCCCCATGGCTTCAAGCTGACGGCAGTCTACAAGGATCTGGCTGAGGGGCAGTTGGTGTGAGAGCAGAGAAGCCATGTAGTGGATATCTTTGTTTTCATCACTTCCACGGTCTCCCCAGGAACTCCCACACCTTATTCCTGCTCTCAGATGTGGGGGATGTCTGACTGGGGAGAAGGGCTGATGCATCCGTAACGGATATCAAATGCACGGCATTTCCTAGCTGAAAGAGCAATGCCCACTCTCCTAAAGAGAATACAGGGAGAGTAGGTCTGGAACATACCTCCAGATCCTCTGTTCGGATATATATTTTTTAGATTTTATTTATTTATTCATGAGAGACACAGAAAGAGAGGCAGATACACAGGCAGAGGGAGAGGCTCCATGCAGGGTGCCCAATGTGGGATTTGATCCTGGAAATCCAGGATCACGCCCTGAGCCAAAGGCAGACGCTCAACCGCTGAGTCACCCAGGCGTCCTCTCTGTTGGGATATTTGATACTAGTGTTTGATAATTCTCCCCACAAACCTCAAACCCAAGCATATTAGGCTTCTGAGGGATAGCACCTGAAGAGGCATACTGATGTTGATGAACAACAATTTGATCAGCTGAAAGAACAGTAATAGTGAAACGGCATTTATTATCTAGGTGGCAT